TCCACTCTCCCAATATGGGAGCAGAATTCCGACAACGAACTTACTGTACTTTGATCCTTTATTCACATACATGTACCCTATGCACATGTTTTTGGCAACGTCAGCACGATCTACATCCGCGAGAAAATAAAGTCTGACTTCAACTTCGTGATCAGTTACCTATGATTATGAGATTCAGAGAGGATTTGTGAATGATTTTAAGTCAGCATGTGAACACAGCCAGTCAAGCATCAATTTTTCATATACTTTAGTTTCATCTTTTGATATATCATGTGAAACACCTGCTATGGCATACCTGTAGTGTTATACTACTCACTAATAATAACTAGAGGTGGTGTTTGTGAACAAACACAGGCTGTTTTAGTCAAATCGTATCATAAAAGAAGAATGTTTACAAAACAGATTTGATATGATAATATTACAGTTTCATGGAATACAGCTGAGTTGCCAAAATATCGGCTATATTGGCTATATATCTGTGTAGAAAGTCAATTTGAAAGAAAAACCAAAAATCATTAATAAATTCATCGATGTCATCATGACATTTTAACTGTACCATATCACCATTTGAGTCCATCCTTGATGCAACTATAGTGAAAAAAGAACAATATCTTTTAAAGGTTGCACATTCCATTCTGATCAGATGTGCATGCAATGGATAACTCTTAATGGCACGTGACCTGTCACATGATATCATCATCACATGAGATCAATGTTGCTTTATTAAAAATACTTTGTTTTCCAGTTACATGCAAAGTTACAACACGATTGGATGTGTACTTCAGGAGATAAAGAACTTTAAAGATGGTTCCTATATAGTGTCACGTGATATCATCGCCATCAGGCCAACGGTACAGTCCTCTAAAACACTTTGTCCTGAAGTTATATGCAAGGTTTCAACCCTATTGCGTTGCATTTCAAGAGATATGGGCCATGAAAAAGTGTCACATGATATTATCATAACATGAGGTCACTTTTCCTCTAGAACACTTCGCTTTAAAGTTATAGACAAAGTTTCAGCACAATCGGACATGTACTTTAGAAGTTATAGTACTTTAAAGATTACACCTGTAATGTCATGTGACATGTCACATGATATATCGTTACAACATTGAACAAGTTCTGAGACCCCTCTTTGCTTCGCAATGTTCCTTCAGTGTAAGTTCCATGCATATATAATATTGCTAGGTTGGAAAAATAAACCTTAAAATCTATGTGCAAAGTCTATAGAGGAAAAAACGTGTGCAAAGTCTATGGGCAAATATTGATTATTAAAAATCAATAATAAACTAATGACGTCGTTATTGATGTCAAAATACCTACATTATGTGTTAGCTTAGGTCAATCCTTGATGGAACTGAGAAAAAAGGTCGAACTTCATTTAGTGACTAATATCGTTCCTTGAAATCTGTGTACAAAGTCAATGGGCCGTCCACTCGTTTGCAGAAACACTGCTCCTTTAAGTTCATGTCATGTGATTTGCGCTTTAACTGAACAATGTTTATGAAATATTACTTCATATTCGGACTCTCAGGCGTATTTCAAATCAAATAACAGAGCGTAAAGTACCCGATTTCTCCTTCGTTCTTATAGTAATCTTGAGCCAAAATAAAGGACAACTCGTTCTCTAGTGTTAAGTAGAAAAACGTGTACATAACCTATGGGGAAAAATTAAATATTCAGAAATGACTATAAAAAAAAGGGGGTTGATGATGTCATCATGATGTCATCCCTTTGCAATAAATCTTGCATCAGGGTCTTTGTTGGCTATCACTTTGGGAACGATCAAACATTGCAAAGTTACTAAATTTCTGGCTCGAAAACGTGTACAAACTCAATGGGCTAGGAACACGTGTACAGGAAAACTGCTCCTTTAATTTCATGTCACGTGATTTTTGTCTAAACTGGAAAAACCTTATGGAATATTATTTGATATTTGGACTCTTGGGTATATTTGCAATTGAACTTTAATGAAAACAAAATCTGTTTCGGCAGCTTGCCGAAACAGCTAATAATTTATTCATTTATAAAGCGCAAATTTCAAATAGATATGTTCAAATGCGCTGTACAATGAAGACATTAAGCATGGAACAAGGAATACATTAAACATGGTTGAACCGATGGCATACAAGGGTGCCTCGGGCAGCTGCCAAACGACACACATTCACCAACATCAGTAAAGGAGCGGACAGTAAGAGCAGTTACAGTTTTTAGAGGAGGGGAGTATTCTGGATAAAACTCATAGGGTCAGGTAGGAACTGAAAACCCAATTCACATGTGGACCAGGCCGCGAATTGAACCCGGGACCACAGAGGTGGAAGGCGAGGAAAGAACTACCTTGCCAACCTGCCGGCTCCCTGTTATTCATGCACTTGCAAGGCGGCTTTCACCCATGCATGCTGAGTAATTTGTGGCCCACACAAACGACTCCACAACTCAAAGATTTAACATAACTCGGGCATTTGAGCACCGATTTGACCAATCAACAGGGGAAAATTTCATAACTGGTCAAAATGGATCTGCTACACTAGTTTTGAGCATAGTATGCAACTGGACATGTGTTGAGAAAACTATAGGCAAAACCCACTCGCCACATGGTCAAGCCAAGGTCAAACCCCATCTGCAGTTATGTGCCAAGCTTGTAACAAAATCCCCTGAGGGCGATAACAGTAGCTGATAAGAGATCCTCGGAATCCTGTTCAACCTGCTAGAAAACCTGAGTTCGGGCTGCTGAAATCGGGTTTTCTGGTAAATGTGAATTCACGGCATGTAATTAACACATTATGACACATGATGGTTTTGGCAACCTCTGCAACCTAATCCAACTCAACTGAACTCAACCCAATCCAGCCCAACCCAATCCAGCCCAATCCAACCCAANATTTCAGAAATTTCAGACATGGGATCTCTAATTCTAGGCTGTGTATACACAGCTGAAAACACCCAGAAAGTGCTGTTTCCGGCCATCTGGGGGCTTTTAGATTCCAAACATTTTCTGGTGCGCTCCGCGCCAACCGATGGTGGCGCTCCGCTTAGATAGTCCTGCCGGCACTAAAACCGTCCTGGGCAGAACCCTGGTTGGCTATCACTTTGGAAATGATCAAACATTGCAAAGTTACTAAAATTCTGGCTTGAAAACGTGTACAAAGTCAAATGGGCTAGAAACGCGTGTTAAGGAAAACTGCTCCTTCAATTTCATGTCACGGGATTTTTGTCTAAACTGGAAAAACCTTATGGAATATTATTTGATATTTGGACTCTTGGGTATATTTGCAATTGAACGGAAGGGAAAATTTAGCCTGATTTCTCTTTCGTTCTGGTCGTAATTCTTGGTCGAAGTTGAGGACTGCTCACGCATTATGCTGGACAGTTGTGTGTACAAACCCTATGTTGTGCAACAACACCATCTATGGTTCAATATAGGACAGCATGTTGAAAATTGAAACCCCAGGCAGGTGTAACAGTTATTCTGCAATAGCGCCCTCATAGCCTGATATAGGACAGTCCGAAAAGTGTGTGCAATCTGTGTACAAAGTCTATGGGAAAACTTAATTATTCAAAAATCAATAATAAATACACTGATGACGTCATCATGATGATTTTCTTCTAGGACCATCCTTGGATGATTGGCTGAAGGTCTGCAAAATTTGAAGTCAATCAGATAAATAACTACCAAAGTCGACTGGCGGAAGAAAGCGTGTACAAACCCTATGGGGAAATAGTCTGAAAAATAACAAGAAAAAAAAAAAACCCCAAACTTTAACGAAAACAAAATCTGTTTCGGCAGCTTGCCGAAACAGCTAATAATTTATTCATTTATAAAGCGCAAATTTCATGCAGATATGTTCAAATGCGCTGTACAATGAAGACATTAAGCATGGAACAAGGAATACATTTAAACATGGTTGAACCGATGGCATACAAGGGCGCCTCGGGCAGTTGCCAAATGACACACATTCACCAACATCAGTAAAGGGAGACAGTAAGAGCAGTTACAGTTTTTAGAGGAGGGGAGTATTCTGGATAAAACTCATAGGGTCCGGTAGGGACTGAAAACCCAATTCACATGTGGACCAGGCCGGGAATTGAACCCGGGACCACAGAGGTGGAAGGCGAGGAAAGAACTACCTTGCCAACCTGCCGGCTCCCTGTTATTCATGCACTTGCAAGGCGGCTTTCACCCATGCATGCTGAGTAATTTGTGGCCCACACAAACGACTCTACAACTCAAAGATGTAACACAACTCGGGCGTTTGAGCACCGATTTGACCAATCAACAGGGGAAAATTTCATAACTGGTCAAAATGGATCTGCTACACTAGTTTTGAGCATAGTATGCAACTGGACATGTGTTGAGAAAACTATAGGCAAAACCCACTCGCCAGGCACGGTCAAGCCAAGGTCAAACCCCATCTGCAGTTACGTGCCAAGCTTGTAACAAAATCCCCCGAGGGCGATAACAGTAGCTGATAAGAGATCCTCTGGATCGTGTTCGACCTGCCAGAAAACCTGAGTTCGGGCTGCTGAAATTGGGTTTTCTGGTAAATGTGAATTCACGGCATGTAATTAACACATTATGACACATGATGGTTTTGGCAACCTCTGCAACCTAATCCAACTTAACTGAACTCAACCCAATCCAGCCCAACCCAATCCAGCCCAATCCAACCCAACTCAA